GAACTACTGCAACCACTGCAGAAGCAAGCCCAGTTGCAGTGAACACAGTGAGGGGAGCATAATACAACTGACCTGGAGGTATTCCTTCTCTGACCTTAGCTCTAGGTGAGAGCCACAGTGGGATTGTACCCATTTGGGGAATAAAAAACACTAACAGAGCCCAAATGGATATTCTTCTGCTTCTCACCTTCCAGTGTATGTGCATTTGAGGGACAAAGGGCTAGTAACAGTCACTTCAGGATGGGCCAGTTGTTGCAGCCTCAAGAACAGCCAAAGTAGAAACTTTCCACCAGTCACAGCTTTGCAGTTTGTAGAGGACAGACTGCCCTGGGATCGATTTGCTGTTTCTCTGATCTTCTCTGTTCTGCAGTTTTTCACCTCTGTTTTTCTTGATCCTGTCTGCCCTTCTGTCTCCTTTTTCCTATCTCTCTACTTCTTCCTTCAGTATTCTTTATCACTGTTTTTTTCTATCCATGGTTTATCTCTAACTGAAGTCTTTCATGATGCTTAGTAAGTAGCAGCACTGTTCTCTGTTGTTGATGCACTTTTCTATGCTTTCCCTATTCTCTTACATTTGAGATCCTTAGCCCCTGGGACAGAAGCTTTGCACCCTTCTGGATTGGTACAGTACCTGTTACAGTGGGACCCACTTTTACTGTCTAATAACATGATTAATAGAGCTTGTACAAATAAATGATTCATTGGCACTTTTAGGTTCTTAAATCAGGGTGACACACTTTTTCCCTGCAATCATTCCCTTCTTCTCGAAGAATTAAATAAATGTAATAAATATGCAATAAATGCAAACTTACATAAAGGTTGTTCATCCTGAGCAATATGCAGGTTCATTTATATGTGTGTCTAAATGGCTTCTGGCATCACGGTGTCTAGGTAGAAATTAGCTCAGTTATTTAGAGCATGGTGGTAGTAACACCAAGATTGTGGTTTAATCCCTGCATGGGCCATTCACTTAAGAGTTTGACTCAATGATCCTGGTAGATCCCTTCCCACTCAGAATATTCTGTGATAATACTCATAAGAATAGGTAGCTTGCTTTCTGAAGAGCTGAGTGAAGAAGTAATGTGAGATGTGTGTTTTTCAGAGACCACTGGTATGGATGGTGTGTATTTACTGGGAGATCAACATCTCTCACTGGGAAACTGAGGAATAAAGAATGTGGAGATGGCCTGTGATCTGCCTTAGAGGACGAAGCATTAACCTCAAAAAGAGAGATTTGAGGAGCCAATTTTTTAGTTCCTGAACCCTCTACCTATTCAGCAGAATCCTTTCTTTGTCCAGTGACAGTCTCCTCTCACCAGTTCACTGCTGAACTGTGGGTCTGTCAGAGAAGGCAGTGTTGCTGAAGTGACATGTCTCCAGACATCTCTCAGTCCCTGGAGAATTGTGTCCCAAAAGTACTCTGAAATTTATATGACAAATGGCAGCCAGCCCTACCGAGGGACTTGGCAGTGTGGAAATGTCTAAATGCACACACTATGGAAGGCTGAGGAAGGTGAGGAACTGCAGCGTTTAGTCTTTCAGTTGACACTTCACCATTTCCTTGCTTTACGAATGCATTGAAGATGCTCATGCTTCATGAATACCAAACACAAGGGTTTTATTCCCCCCCCCCATGATCGATATGAAGATCTCAGTAGGGAACAATATATCACAGATCTTTTCTAAGCACTTTAACTGTTCTCTTCCCCCTCCCCAAAGATACTGGCCGATGAGGCAATCACAGTGTGAAGAGAAACCATTGCCAAGGCTCAGCTGTTTCATGCAGGTGTGTGAACAAATGGTGGCAAAAACGCTGGCCTGTTGTCCATAGGGGGGAGACTGTGCTTAAAAGTGCTGGTCTCCTGTTGTCTCCGGGATCAAGTGCCAGTGAAGTGTCAGCTTTGGTAAGGGAAATTCTGGCTGTTACTCAGTTGAGTAGCCCAGGAGGCCAGTTGCCTAAAAGTATGCCTCAGGGACAAGATAGATTTTGAGAGATGGAAGGATAGCAGAGGCATATCAGAGTAGCTGATGCAGAAAGGCATTGCTATCGTACAGCGGGTTGGACTGAGTAGCAGTGGAATTTTTCATAGCAGATGTGTGAGGAAGAGCTGTACCATGTGCAAAGCCTGGCCTTGGTGGGTATGCTGGACAGTAAGAACCTGGCTACACAGAGCCAGGGTTGAATCCAACCTCTTCATGCTCCTCTACCCCAGACTGCCTGAGAGTTCAGGAAAACAGCTCTACAGAAGATCAGGTTGGGAAGGAATTCTTTGTAGTTAAAACAAATTAAACAGCAAACTTCTTCCTCTAGTAACTGAGGAGCTCTCCATTCACCTTTAGTGAAATGAGGAAGGAGACTTGAATTCTTTCCCTTCCTTAATATCTGTTGGTTCTTACTGCAGTGGCAGCTGGTTGGTGGTTTTGCTTTCTCTGGGTGAATCCCAGCTGTGATTGCAGGTGCCGCTCCACTAGCTCAGATCCAAGCAGGGACTTGTGAGCAGGCGGCCCATGTTGAAATGCTTCACAGCAGTGGGTACAAATGAATGCTAAATCTGTTCCCTGGTAAATGCTGGAACCATGTGAGTGCACTGAACCCCTCTGAGCTGCCAAACCTTCTGTCAAACCAGTACTTAAGTTGTTGTAAGTCTGTGCTCCCTTTTCTTTCAATAACTTGTAGTGTGTCCTGCAGGATTATAAGTATGACTCCAACCAGGCATGAAACATGCAACTTGAAAGCCACAGTGTTGGAGAGGCTGGGTAATGGAGAGTGTGATCGTGACTCACAGGAGCTGCTTCTGTGATCGGATTGCAATGGGAAGAGTCTGGGCCTGTCTCTATCTGCCTGCTTGCCCTTCTCAGAGGGAAGAGTGTTATGGGAAGCCTGATAGGTGCCCTGCTGAATTTGTTTTATGGATGTAACTGTCAAGGTTGGTGAGACTGCAGAAGCCTCTCTGTGCTAAGTGTGTACTGATGCTACAGGAGAAGCTGCAGGAGTGACCCTGTGCAAGGACTGCACCCGGTGTGTTGGAAAGGTGTGTGGCTGGGAATGTTTAGTTAATCTAGGGTGGCCAACAGGTCGAGGAAGGTGATTCTGTCCCTCTGCTCTTCTCTGCTCTTGTGAGGCCCCACCTGGAATATTGTGTCCAGCCTGGGGTCCTCAGCACAAGAAGACATGAACTTATTGGAGCAAGTGCAGGGGAAACCATGAAAGTGATCAGAGGGATGAACACTTCTCCTCTGAAGACAGACTGGGAGAGCTGGAGTCATTCAGCTGAAGAGTAGGCTCTGGGGAGACCTTAGTGTAGCCTTTCCGTACTTAAAGGGGACTTATAAGAAAGCTGAGGGAAAACTTTTTAGCAGAGTTTGTTGTGACAGGACAAGGGATGATGGTTTTAAACTAACAGGGTTGATTTAGATTATATATATGAGGAAGAAATTTTAAACAATGAGGGTGGTGAGGCATTGCAATAGATTGCCTAGAGAGATGGTGGATGCACCATCTCTGGAGACATTGAAAGTCGAGTTGGACAGGGCCCTGATCAGTCTGATCTTGTTGAACATGTCTCTGCTTGTTGCAGGGGGGTTGGACTAGGTGGCCTTTAAAGGTCCCTCTACAACTTAACCCATGCTATAATATGTCTACAGTCTGCAAATTCTGTTTTGGGGGATGAGAGTTTAGTTGTTTTTTCTTTTTTTACTACCACTCCCTGCCACTTCCACACTGTTTTTCTTTATCTGTGTACTTAAAGAAGTAAGGATGCTTCCAGGCAGGTTTGCTATCCATGGGCTCTGATTGGCACCTCTGCATACCACTTATTCCTAGATTGGTGCACAAGCTCTTAGCTGTGATGAGGTCTGGAGACAGCAGCTGAAAGCCCTTCTGCAGGGGGAGGTATGGGGAGGAGGGAATCTATTAGAGAGTATAAAAGAGAGAGCTGGAGTGAATTTTTATGCTGATGAATATGAGTGGAAGCCTGACTACTGCTGCAGTGTAATCTGTCTGAGCAAGTGTTCTCCAGGCACAGTCAGCACACATCTGTGCCGAGCACTGACATGGCCTGTTCCCCTGATGAGCATTTACCTCAGCAGTGGGTCTCATGAGTAATATCCCAACTGGAGCAGTTGCAAACTCTATCCCAGGGAGTCTTTTCTGTCTTGCCATTTGTCTGCTCAGCTGAACCTGACGAGCAGAGGGGAGGCTGAGGATATAACCACCAAACTGCAGCTGGATTTTTTTCCCCAATTGTTATTTTACTTTCAGTTTTAGATTTCTTACGTCTGCCTCTAGATCTGCCTAGAAGGGAAGAGAGTATGTTGGTGCAGGTACTGAGAGAAATGAGGCAAAGAAGCAGAAGTGACCAGCATTTGCTGCCATGTTTGGAATACTGACATAAGTTATCTCTAACAATCTAAACTGGGGCTGAGCACTAAAGTCATTACGGTAAGAAGTCAAAGTGTAGTGGCTTTAGTGATGGATGACTCCAAGTAAGAGCCAGCTACAGCATTTTAAACATAGTGGAAATCCAAAGCAATAAACCATCGGCTTCATCATATCAGGCAACAAAGTTCCACAGAGCAAAATGTCGAGCAATACTGATTTTGGAAGGGATGAGGAGCTGCAGTTCCTGAGCAGGATGGGGCAGTGATAGCCATGTTTCCCGTGTTCCAGTGGAGAGACAGCACAATTTGCATCCTGTTCCCAGCAAGGCAGCAATTCCCTCTTTCAGAGCAGCAAGGACAGCCCAGCATGTGCTGGGACAGATGCATCCGTGTGTAGGGCAGTGCCTGTGCTTGTGATTTCCAGCCAGCCTGTGTCTGAATCTGCACTGGCCTTGGAAGGGAGTGTGCCTTCAGCAGAGCAAGCAACACTGTGTAGTGAGGGAGGAACCACTTCATGCAGGACTGTGGTTCCACGTGCACTTACTCAGACTGGCAGGGAATTTCTGCTGCATCCCTAAGCTGTTCCTGAGGCCTCTGAAAATTTCCGTCCTTTGTTTCAGAGCCATCATCAATCACTTCAACCCGAAGATCGAGTCTTACGCTGCAGTGAATCACATATCACAGCTCTCCGAGGATCAGGTAAGTCAGGCATGTGATGACCTTTGGTCATGTTGACCTCTGGAAGGAATATGGGTTTTTAGGACTACCTTGTGCTCACTGGGATTGATGATGTGGCAGCAGTATGAGGGGTGGAAGTGGAACTCTCATGTTCGTTGTTGAGATGTGGGCGAAAGAAAAGCAAGGCTTGCTTTAGCCAGTTTTACCATCAGATGCAGAGATTTTGGTCCTGCAAATGCAGAAGGATGGGTATGAACAAGGAAAATATGCAGCATTTACAGCAAGTGTGGTTGGAGACTGAGGATGCTGGCATTTAGAATGGGACAGGAAATTTTTAGCAGCAAATTTAGAAATTTAGTCATTGGGGAACTGTTGGGCATAGCTTGATTTTTTTTTTTTTTTTTTTTTTTTTGGTGATATCACAGAGCTCTGGCAACAGTCGGTGGAAATTTTCTAGGGTAATTGTGTTCAGTTGGTTTAGATTTTGAAAAGAGAAGGCTTTTCATGAAAAGGGTGGTAGGGTTAGGTTTCCCTTCCTTAATTTGGCCTGGTTTGGTCTCTTAGTGTCCTGCTTGTATTGCATTAATGTATAAATGTGGCTTTTTGAAAATAGGTACTGTGTATGGACTCAAGAAGGGAAGAACTGGCCTATTTCCCAAAATAAAATATTGGGATTATGCATTAATCATTCTTGGAGAGGTAAATGACTCTGCAGGAGCAGGTGGTGGACAAAATGCAGAGCTGCCACGTGAGCTGGGGGAATCATTCCAGACGCAGCTGCGTCAACACCTCTGGACTTTCTGGAGAAGAAATTGTGTAGGCAGTCTAGGACAGGCTTCGTTGGAGTCACCTTGGATTGCTCCTTCTACTGGGTCCCATACTTGTGCTTGTTAAAAGATCTTGACTGTAACCTGCTCTGCAATTAATTTCTCTTTCTGTCTGTGATATTTTTACTATTTCTTGATTACTCCCACTAATCTTTTCATTTATTAACCTACTTGATCTGTAGTATGCAACACCCCAAAAACTTGGGCTGAATACTGTCCTGGTGCAGTGGGGGAAAGAAGGTGGACCTTACTGCTTTTTAGTCTCTTCCTGGTATAGCTGTATAGAAGAACACTGGTTTTAATTTACTCAATTTTCCTTATTGTTCTGCCTCTGAGAGTCACTGTATCCACAGCTATGCTTTGTGATGGTTCGTGTTATCAATCCTCATTCATTGATGATACACTGATTGCATCAACCCATGCCCCTTAAAAAAGAAAAGCCTTTGATAGCCCAGTTTAAAACTGGAGGCTTGGGTAGAGGGGAATTTTGCATAGTCTTTGAGTTAGTCTGAGAAAGGAAATGAGCTTTTCACTGTCAACTCTGTGTAGTATTCATCCCCCAGCAGTTCAGGGAGGTCAGGTTAAATCCTTTCTTCCTTGTGTGTTATTCTTTAAATAAAATCTCTACCAGCAGGCAGATAATGAAATCAGTGCTGATGCATAGAGCATTTTGAGGAAGATGATTAGGAAGTTGAAAGACAGACAGATTTTTCTTTTTTCTTTTCTCCCTCCATGCATTCTCTCAACATAGGGAGAACATCAAACAAAGTAAAGCAATAATAGGCCCTGGTGAACTGCAGAGAAATAAGGGAGATGTCACTGTGGTGAGGGACTGTGTGGTCTCAGTGAGAGTGTTTAATCAGTGCTCTGCAATTCACTGCACAAGGAGGAGAGGGATGGAGACTTCTTGCTTCCACTTTTAATTATGCCAGTGAGCTCAGATCTGTGTGCTGGACTGTGGTTTCCCCTCTGTCAGTAGCCATCCCACCTGGTATGTTAATGGTAGATGGCCCAGATCAAGCCCAGGGTCTGGATTTTGTGGAGTAACAGAATTTGTTGTTTTTGTTGTGTTGGCTGTTTGGTGTGTGTGGAGGGGGATTTGCGGGGGATCAAGCTTTCCTTTTGGCTGCTGCAGTCTCTTTACTTTTTTGGTTTTTCTTCCAACTATATCTTTTGCTTTTACACGTGTATTCACTTAATTCACCATCTCTCTGCTGTCCATAAATATTTTCTGCACAGAATCCACCATCCTTTATAGCCCTGTTTTTTGAAGTGTACCACATTGAGATATTTAATGCTGACATTTAGCTTGTGTGTCCACACATAGATACTGCATTTGTAACTGGTTATTCTTTCCTTTGAGTTATTCCAATAGTTTCAGGAGACTGATATTTCTTTATTGGAAACATTTGTTTTTACAATTTTCAAGATCAAACTTTTCTTTTAATGAGGATTTCCTTCTCAGATACTAGTCTTTGGCCAGATTCTCATATGGCTGCTTATGCTCCTCCGTGGTATCTGAGAATATCCTGTTAATTGGGAAGCTCTCTCTGGAGGGGAATTTCCAACTGCTCTGATTTGTATCCGATTCACTTGAACCCAAGTTCTGATTCCCTGTTCATATGAGTTAGATTATTTATTTATTTATTTATTTATTTATTTTTAATAGCCTTAAAAAAAGCTGAGTAATTAGCTGAAAGAGATTTTGCTCTTTTTCTTTTCCTAATCCTACTGAAGCCTTTATTACCTTGTTAATCACTAATGTCCATTTATTACCATTCTAAGTCTGTCATTTCAGTCCTTTCTCCTTTTTTCATTTACAGGCATTAATTTTAACAATATTACGTGCTAAGAGGATTTGTAGGTCCTTGAAAATGATGGACATGGGATTGTTTTAAGCACAGACTGTTAATACCACAGTACCTCCTCAGCACTAAAGATCTCCAGGAACCATAGTTTGAATATACAGATCTCTGTTCTAGACAGGTATATTTGTAAGACTTCATGGTACTGCTTTGCTGGCTGTTGTGGGGTTTATCCAATATTCAGATCAGAAATACTGGGAAGGGATTTTTTTTTTTTCATATTCTCTTGAACAAAGAGTGGGAGATTCCCAGAGGCAAGCAAATGCCAGGGATTTGATGATGAACCACTTCAGTCTATCAACACCATGGCATCCTTGTCAGTGCAGTTCTGCAAAGCATCTACTTGCCAGGGCAAACTCGGAATCCTTCTTAGTCATTAGCAGTTTTACAGACCTTGCTGTAGTTCCTCACCATGAAACAGGGAATTGTCTTAGCCAGTTAGTGGCACTTTCCCTCACTTGCTCTTTGTTAAACCTGACTTCAGTGTTAATTTGCGGTTTTGTGGTATTCTCCCTCTCAACACATTTGGCTCCTGCCTGCCCATCTTCTAAGGGATCAAAGGATGCTGCATAGTCAAAAAGGTAGGCTTGGCCATTATATTTGCCAGTGTAGTTTTGGCTCTTCCATGAAAGTGATTATTACCATGTCTTCAAAGAGATTTTGGTCCCTTCTTGTGTCAAACAGCAAAAGAACCTTTTATGAAATGAATTCATGGGCTTATCTGTACTTTCTAGATGACTGGACTGCCTACTACTTAATGCATTGGAGGCAGTAGACTTTCTCTGTACCATATCTGATCTGAGAAGCTCCCAACATGCTTTCTAGCAGAAGCAGTTGTAGAGAACAGGGTCAAAGCAGTGAGGAAACAGCAACATGAGAGGGCAAATGCAGACAAACAGAAAGGATAAAAACACAGCATGAATGATCTGGATGGGGTCTCACATCTGCCTTTTCTGGATGTGAAAGAGCAGCTGTTTGTAAGAAGGCAGCTCTCTGCCTGATGGCAATGTAGTACAATTTTCAAGAGAGGGTAAAGTGAGAGGAACCCAATAGTTTTGGTGAAATCTACTCTGAGCAGGAATGTCTTGTGGTGCCTTGCATGCCAAGCAAGTGTTTTACCAGTTAAACAATTGCTCACTAAGGTCTCATTTTCTTGTTGGCACTTTTTCTCTCAATGATTTCCTCGCTAAGGGTCTTAAAATTGAGATGGCAGGCATGTGGGACTGATGATGCTTGCTAGTCAATAACATTTATGTGCTTTTTCTAATAGAAACCCCTCTTTCTTCCCAGCTACAGTGGGGACATTATGCCACCTCCAAAACAGAGGTAAAGTTCACTGTGGGAGACAGCTGTGAACACCTGTTTTCTGTCTGATAACTGCAGATGGAAAATGCTGGGAGCCAGAACAGATTGTGATGGAAAAAACAGGACAACTGAATTACTTTTGAAATTGTGACAAATGAATGTAATACTTAGGTTGTTTCACACTGTGACACCTTTGTAACTCAGGTAGAATCATAGAATTGTTTTAGGTCAGAAAAGACCTTTAAAATCATTAAGTCCAATCATTAACCCAGCATTGCCAGTAGCTGCAATCCGGTTTGGTCAGGCAATCTCACAAAGCCATTTCCCTTTCATTGGTCATACCTCAACTGTTGAATGGTCTCCATGCTGCCCCAAACCTCATGGCCTTCTGTTACCTGGACTAACCTGAAGTGCAGCTCAGGGACTGTCCACAAGTGACTTGCACAGAAAGACACAAAAGGATGTAGTTGGTTTCGATGTCCTCAAGTGTTTTAATTCTAAGCCATTGATGTCACAGTTTATTCAACTTGTTCTAGTTTCCATAACTAGCAACAAAACCACTGACAGATACCAAATGCTGTATCTTTTCTTAGCACTGCTGGCAGTGGTGTTAAGAGTTAAAAGCCTCTTGGCATGTGCACGTTCGATATTTCTAAAATGCTGAGTACCATCAGTGCTAGGTACTACTACAGTGAATCCCCCTAATCTCTTACATTAGAATAATGTGTTGTGAGGCCTCCAGAAATACTTTAAAATGGTTTTGGCTACCTCACTTCTGAAATGCAGTGAGCTTTGGGGTAGAAAGTCTCAAGCCTGCTAGTGCCCTGTTGCAAACAGTAGTGGGAATGTGAAACTAAAGCAAAGGGATCACCAAGGCAAGGCCTTAATTTAAACTCAGCACATCTTTGCAAATGAGGCAGGGATGTTGGCTTTCATGGTCTCATTACAGACACCTACTCATGACTAATGGCTTGAAACAGATTTTATTGCTTAAATAGAAAGAACTGAGCTGCACCAGGTGAAA